AACGCAGATCAAAGGTTAAATATAGGTAATAAGATAAAAAGGTAATAATAATGTGTTGAAAAGGTAATAATAATGTGTTAAATAAATGTTATGAAGATTTGCGTCATTTGTACAAAAGAGTCAGCACTTTCGCCGCAGGCGAAGTGAAATTGTTCGCTGTGAAATTGTCGGACTCGATCTTGATCGCGCTGCCTTGGACAGCTTGATAGCCAACCAACGAGCATTGCTGGAACTGCTCTTATTCACTCAGAGAGATGAGAGACTTTGTCCTAATAGCAATGCACTTATTGCACTTGTGTGCGTCATCCGGGTCCAGTTTTACTTGACTGAAGGGCGTATCTGTGCTACGTCAGCTCCCGGTGGGTGAGAAAGTGTGTCACTATATATATTTGGACAATATGATCCATTCATTTTCCAGAGTTATGGAGCCAAAACCTGATGTTTTACTGCAAGTGCCCAGTAATTTGAGGACAGTCTAAACTGATTTCTTAAGCACCACAACTGATATATTTTTACTCCTAGGCGACTCCACTTAAAAAGTACCAAGACAAGCCCAAACCCCACGACAATTCCTCAGTCTCCCTTTAATACAATACTCTTGATGTTAATAATTATGATGAGAATTGCTGCAATTGCCGTTATAATCCTTGATTATGGTCGTATGTGTATAGTTTCATCGTGAATGCTAAACGACTGTGATCTGTGAACTCGATGTGTCATGGCTTCCTGTTACAAAACTTCAGACAAGGTTCAGGCTGATGCCAATGAATAGGGAATCTGCCGCCGAGATCCACTGACTTGCTGTCAAGCTCATTTTATACACTTAACTAAAAACTTAGTGCGGCCCATTAAGTTATTTTACCGACGTGTCCGTGCATAAACTGCTGAATGCACCGGTCAATCTTCACTATAATGCAACACTATTACGAAACACAATCTTCATGAAATCGCTGTTACTTGAGATGAGCGACGTCTGTTCGCGTATTAGCCTTATTTGCATACAGAAATGATTTTTAACAAATTTCTAAAACGATTGAACAATATTTTTGAAGCGTAATGATAATAAGAAGTAGATAAAAAAATCCGTTTTAATAAATAATACAATTTATAATTTATTTTCCCGTACTTGAAAAAAATGAAGAAGAAAGTGTACAACGTTTTTAAATATAGCCCCGCAGTTCTAGGGCCCCCATCCGAAAAACGAATGATGTAAGTTGCCAAAATTTTGGATCAACAGTAAACTAGCAAAATCAGCTAGTTTACTGGCCTGGTTAATCAAAAACGAATAAGTCGTTACCCGCTAAAACCAATGTTTCAATTCACAGCTAATAGCAGCAATAACTTCTTCGTTCAAAACTGGATCGTGACTTGCTCTAGACGGTTACTTTTATTAGTTTATTATCTGTTTATTATTTTATTGTTATTTATTAGTGTATTAGCGACTCTTTACCTCGTGATAAGCATCAGTCATAGTTCGTAGGTAATGTCATCCACTTCATCCACTTACAATTATATCACATTAGTAGAGATGCAAGCCTTATCACCGCGAAGTGTGAAGCTGCAGAGTAGCTTATAGGCCATGCAGGGCCGCAGCTTCGATAAGGTACGAGAAGCATGTACCGTTATGGAATAATTGCCCCAGCATTTGAGATTATGCCCTTAATAATATACGGTCCGACTGATAAATTCGATATATATGCGATGAAAAAATGTAGTATAAATATAAGAATATATGCTACGTACCATTTTTTTAATAATTATAAAGCAATGATAGCTTAAAAAGCACAGTAAGCCGCTCGAAAGTCATCATAAATCACTCTTGCTCATCGCTCCCATTCATTTCAGCTGCTTATCGTGGGAATTTATATGCTCATAAATAAGACGAACGTATTAAGTAATCCCCCATAAACTGAATCATTGTAAGTCAATATGTACATTACATTGCTGTTTGCGCGAGTTTTACCGTCGCACTTGCAATCGCGTAGAGCCTTAGATCCACCTTACGTTGTTGCGGTGTTACTAAGAAAGTGTGAAAAAGTACAAAAGGTGTCGTAGTGTGAACGAAAAGAGGAAGGGTAAATGGAAAGGAAAGTACAAGATGAAAAATGGCGCATTGTGCATAACTGGGTTTGGTTGGAGTTGTGGAGGGGGAAGAGAAACCCGTTGGATGATTTAAAACGCGCGGGACAGTGACAGGACTGTGGTGGTTCCTTGTTTAAATTTTTGATATTTATGAGTACAGTTAGTGGCAAAATAAAATGATTCGTACTCTCCCTATTAACAAACGTTTCGCTTTGTTTACTTTAGTATTTTTCAAAAGGATGATATGATGAGAGGGGGTGATTTGCGATTATCTGTCGTAATTTAAATGTTATAGCGTCATGGATGTGCATGTTTGAGGCTGGAGTTCGCATTTTAACACGTTTATTGAGTATTGGAAATACGAACTCTAGCCTCAAACATGTACAAGGCAATTATAAAACATAATTAAATAGCTCTTTACCCAACAAAACTGGCTGGAATTTGGAACGACGCTTTGTTCTCGGAATGATGACACCTTGGCAGCTCGAGGAACCCATCACTTCTGCACCACATGGATGCTTCATGGAAGGGATATCCCCGCGCCATCGTTTTTAAACTGGTTCTCAGCGCTTGACGTTACCCGGCGAACCTAGGGAAACTTACCGCGCGTTGCGACGCTAGCAGCTCCAGCGACCGCTGCTGCCGTCGCCACCTAACCTCCTGCATGCTCAAGGTGACGACTGCTTGTCACCTCGCAGCGTCCATTATTACTTCTATTGCAACGACGTCATATTCACTTCACACAGGGCTTGTGTGAAGGGCTTGTATTCACAGGGCTTGGCATCAACATAGATGGTTGGGTTGCGTCCATGTCTCACTCTAGAAGCATCTTTTTTTTACTAGAAGCCCATTTTCTACTCGAAAGTAGGTACGAAACTTACCGTCCTCACTAGTAGCGACGCGGAACATTCACAAGCCAAATCTGTTCTAGTTGTAACATTATCGTGACCATTGAAGAATCGAAACATGTTTTCCTAACATGTTTCATTCTTTACTTTATTATTTTCGTTACCGGCAGCGTCTACAGTCTACACGTTATTAATGTACGTAATATTGTAACGATCGGATAGGAAATAACCAACTTATAATTGTATTACGGAACTTATTTATGACCTGGGATGTTTTGTTCCGTGTTTAATCAGTAAGGCATGCAATCCGGTGGGAGTAGAAATACCGGCCCGATCGGAGCGGTAATATAAAAACCAATCTTAGTTACATTGACACTTGGTGTTAGAATTCAATGAATAAATAAATTCAGATTTTCAAATAAGCGAGCGAGAAGAACGCGGACGGTATTCTGATATTATTCTTGCTTATGTCAACAATTCAACAGGTACAACTAAATTGGTTTGAATTCAACTGGTGTACATACATTTCCTGTCGTGAGCTACATTTTCTCTTTGGCGCCGCCCATATTGTGCACCTGTCCTCTTGAGGCGACCGGCAGACGCGACTGAACATTTTTATGTTCAATCGCTAAAACACCTCGGTTTGCATTAGATAAACCCGGTTACGTGATGAATTTAAACTTTAAATGTACTACTAATGACTTTGTTTAAACAAATATAACTCAACACTCAACTCCCTCACTATAATTAAAAGAAGAAATGCTCTGAGCGTCGTCGTGGATGCAAGCCAGCCCGTATGCTTAGAGTAGTTTGTACTCTACTCTGAAGTTCTGACTTCTGCCGTCGCTCAGTCGCGCGATGGGTGCCAGTGGAGAAAGTCGTGTGCGTTTGTGCTGAATGAGCTAGAGTATCCCCAACGAACCTAATAACATAATTTATGCTTCTCTCATCTTAAATCACCTCTACTGCTTTATCGTGCTTTTAACTGAGTTCAACCCCAAGCATTCTCATTTACTCCACAGAGTAACTGCGGATAATATCATCCTTACATGAATTTAGTTTTCTTCGTGAAGGCCGCTAACCTCGAGAGCGTCTTTTCCGTCTGACTGAGCGGCGCGTGTTTCAGCTTCACCTCTCAATGACCTAAAGCTCTATGTGCCGTATGCTTCTATCTTAGGTATTATTAGACTTCTAACTTTGACAATATTTCATCTCAAATTTTTAGCAACCTTGTCTAGTGAAAATAGAAACTTTGCTCTGTAAGGGTGCTTCCTCTTGTTTAGCCTATCATGATTGTAAGCATGATTGATAATCAGTGTCATTTCTGTTAACGAAATGACAATTCTTGGGTGAAAATAATGCAAAATAATATAAAATTATAACAAATAACAGAGTAGCGTGGAAGTTGTGGTCGATTAAATCTTTAAATGCGATCTTCGAACTTCTTGATCGAACACACTTGACATTTACGCTCGCTGTTCGAATTAATTCTATCGATGCTTTCAACGACGTATGCTTTGCATAAAAGCATTTAAGCGAATAATGCAGGATGGTTTTGATTATGTTATGAATTATTCGTCGTGAATTAGTACCAACCAAATCATATTTGTAATGAATTCTCGGGATACTACAAGCTTCCAAGACATGTAAGATTCACAGTTTTCCCTAAGCGCGAGAGATCCGTCGCGACAGACTCACGGCAGAGAGCATCGGGTGTTGCTATTGTTGAAGACACGCAGTTCGATGAACTCGAGTGTTCTTGAACTCCACTCGTTCTGGCGGGAAAAGTTATATGCAGAAACGTGTTCGTGTGTTACAGAAACTTACGCGAACTAGTCTTTTTATATTATGTTGACGCGTGGGCAATGTGTGACAGTGTGAATGTTGTACTGTTGTACACTTCCGTCTACCGATAAAGATAACATTTCTTAAAGGCTTCCCTAATATCATTGACTATCATCCATCTCACGCATTCATTCCCTCGACGGCATATTTCAGCCCTATAAAATAGTATTATTTTAGCTCCCTTTTTAAAATTCTGACTACTAAGTTCGTTTCAGCTAAATCCCTCTTTACTATTTTTTCGGCAGTGAAGGGAACTTGTAAAGCATCAGTGACAGTCGTCGCATGCAACAATTAATTTCTCCGGTGAGTATCGCTCTCATATTAATTTAATAATGTATTTTATTTTTACTGTATCTTAGTTCGAAGATTTGCTACTAGATATTAACTACAGTTCAAGAGAAGTCAGTAAAGAATTCGCACTTCGTCGCATTGAATAATATTTACCTAAATGAACCTGGTGCGTACGAAAGAAACCTGCCTGCAGACTCGCGGCATTGGACACGCGTCTCATAAACCGGTCCCGCTCTTAGTAGGCCTTACGCAATTGCAGTGATTTGAAATCAAATGATACGCAAGTTAATGCATATGAGTCATAATTACTACAGTTGTGAATTCTCAAGTACCTATTAGCAGTTCTAACTACCTCCGTCTTACTGCAGTTTAGTCTGAGATGTTCACTGAAATCAGTTGAAATTGTTTTCTAGAATCTAGATTCTAGATAAACCAGCCGGCCAGTTGCAGCAGTTCACTTGAAGTAACAGTCGTTTTGTTGAATTAATTCTGTTTCCGATGTCAGCTTTTGCTGGTATGCCCTGTCTCGTGGCTGACTGGCTGACAGGCTGGCTTTTTGAAGTCAGCCACCCGCTTGTGGCTGATGCGTCACCGGAAATTCTGTTGCGTCTTCCCACCGCGTGGGTTCGACATCGAAGTTTTTCTTAAGCATTCAGCCGTTGATTTGGATGATTATATTTATACAATCACTATGCCTAGATTATTATTAGCATGAACGTTGGCCAATGGATGATAATGGATTAATGCAGTACATGCATATCTATTTTTTAACTCTGGATAATGGATCAAAAGTTTTCAAAATGAATGAAAGATCGTGTTTTGCTGTTCTAACTTTAGAGTGAATGATGTTGAGACATAATCCTTAGGAAATTATTCGGACGTCCGAGAGTGCTGCGAGTCACCTGTATTAACAAAACACGTGCCCTTTCAATTACGCTGGCACGAATTGTAACCACGATACGTATTTTTACCCTTGATGGAGAACAAACGCAGCTGTCACGCGTTGGATAAATCGCGCTTTGTTTCAGAGCTTCGTGAGACGCTCTTACGTCTGGCGCTGCGCATTCTGTCGTGCAGTGGAGTACTGCAGCTGCTCCCTTCCCACTAAGTTTGTACTCTCAATGAAATTTATTCGAATAAAAAACGGCCATGTGACTACCAATTGAGCACATTTCGTTATTTTCTCGAACCAAACATGAGTTGAGTTGTGTTTGCTATGACGCTCCAGATATTGGACCATCAGCATTAGGTACCTAACAACACCATCAAGGCCATCACCAATATATATCAACTTTAATATCAATTTGAATATAGGGAATTATTATAAATTGATCACCGGGATTTGGCCTTGGTTTTCAGTGTATCCGTGCAACGTTTTAAGTTAATGAGCGGCGTTCGTCACCCACGCATGTAACGTGACAGTATTTTGTGTCCGCCTTGTTTGAACGACACGGGGTGGCCGGAGATGAGCTGTGCAGTGTGCGTGATTGTGGGGCTCAACTTCCGTATAATTATAGGTGCATGATATCCGGTAATCAATTCAATCATTAATTGACTTATCAGTAGTACAACTACTAATTAATCTTTATCTCAATTTCTTTAGTTATGTAATCTGGGACTGTGAAAAGTTTTTGTTTGTAAGATTAATCAATTTATTACCGAAGGCAAAAGTCCATGACTGAAATACCATGAAAATTGGTGCAACCTATGAATATTTGTTAAGTGTCAGCACGCAAACCATGGAGTTAAGGTTGCTGAGAAATGAAGATAATGCCAATACATCAGAACAGAATCTTCTGTTATGTTGGATTTCAACATCGTAAACATCGAATCAGAATATTTATATCATGTTTATTTTACCTTGTATCGAACCTAATCGTGTAAATATTATTTTTAGATAAAAGTAAACTATTGACCTGCGTTTAATGAAGCGTACTCTTTTGAAATAAAAATATTTTTGAATTGATTTATTTGATACCACGTTTTATTCTACGAATTGATCGATTTTTTAGACAAGGCTATACATACCATGTACAATACAGAACTATACATGGCGAACAACAAATGAGTTTTACTACTAGAATAATTTGTCATAATAAATTCACGATTCCCTGAATACGGAAAGATTTTACCGTTAGACCAAGTCTTCGCAGCCAAGGATTCGTGTATCTGAATTATATTTAGTATGTTGCGCATAAACCAAGAAACGAATAATAATTTACGAATAACTCCATTCATTTTATATATTCGTTTGAACGCGAATATTCTGGGTTGGTTCGTTGTGAGGCTTGGTCGACATGAACTGTAAACTGTTTATGTTTGTCGAATGTTGCATTCAACATATAATGTTGCACTATAATTGGCATAAGGTTGAAACAAATCGGATGTACCTAAGCGGGTTTGCCATTCAGTTTTGTTTAAAGTGACATAGCTAGCCTGAAGTTATCCTTAGTGCAGCTTTTGATGAAGACCAGTAGTAATTTTCATTAACAATAATGAAATTGTTGTTACTATTTACTTTTTCTTCTTGAGCAAACGTTTGAATAAATTTGAATGAATTAAATATGTAATATTAACATAGGTACCTCCACCTGTACAAACGAAATATGAGTTTAATTGATGATACAGTAAGTATTTTTTACAAGTGTTTAAATATGCTAATTCAAATGAGTGTTACATTTTAGATGTCGATCCGAACGAGGATTTTTATTTAATCCATCACTTTCGCTGAAAAATTATTTAGTGGATAGAGTAGCCATATTCTAAAAATCTCTGGATTTTAGTAGTCATTTAATGTAGTGCGTTGAAACCCCAGGTTCAGTATCTAGTAATTTTAAATAGAATTACGTGGAGTCATTAACGCAACGCTCGCTCAAGATTTCATATCACCAACCAATTTGCTAGCTTCAACAGCTGATGTTGTTATATATACATACAACATACATACAATATATACATACAATATATACATACAATATATACATACAATATACAAACGTGTTTTTGACACAGGTTTATTCTATGTGGCGCTAATTACAGTAAAAGAAATAAACTTGTAATACTGTACACATCGAAGCATGCTGGCTGCAGAACAGCATGTGTTCTCGCGTGAAGTATATAACTCATCAACTCATTTGTTGAAGTAAGCCTTGAAGATAATCTTATCAGTGGTGTTCATCTAAGCCATGCATTACTTGTATTTTAATTAAATAAATCTTGACAGGCATAAGATAGATTCTTATCAGATACAGCCATATCTTTTCAGTTTAAAGGCATAGCAAGCAGACAACTTTGAACTCTTTTATTGAGTCGTTATATATCTAGGTATTACCTATTTACACGTGGATTTATCTGATTTTTAGCGCATTTTCTCATTTATGGAAAAAATGCGCTATTGTGCTCGTCATGTCCGTCCGTCTGTCGGTACGTCTGTCTGTCCGTCCGTCCGTGACCACGTTTTCGTCGACGAGAAATTGCGCTCTCTGTCACTCACTGCAATGAGTACTGAGTTATATTTTTTAATCTATTGAATCGGAAATTTTCACGTTTGATTTCTAGCACAATAAATATACAGTGTAGTTATTTGATCGCGCATCCACGACATTTCGCGTCAGGACATTACTTTTACCTTTAATTTCATGTTAAGTGGTGGGGGTCATACGGTACGGTATTGAAAATCGGGGAGCGTTGGTTGAAAGCAAAATTCGGATTTTTTGCTTCAATGTGACAGATGTTTATTACTTTCAAATTTCTGTCATACTCCGAAACTTGAGATACCTAGTCACATTCTGACTTGAATTTTGTGTCTAATGTTTGTTGAATTATTTGAAAGTAAACGGCTCTTGCTCCTTGAAGTAACTCGAGGATGGACCATCAGTCCTTAATTTAACGGAATATTGTATGTATATAAAATTTTATTTTTAGTTTTAATGTCACTAGGCATCGTCAAATTTTGGTTGGATTGAAGAATTTAAACAAAAAATTATTAAATTTTAATTTTAGTTATAATGTAAGAAAGTAAACTCTTCATATTTTGTAAATTTAGCACCTATAAAATCCAGGTGTTCTTCGTTAAGAAGAACACGAACTTGTCTTTTTCAATTAACACCATTTATTTTGAATATTATGCCCCCTTGGGTTGGCGGACGATTCAATGAGTTCTCAGATCTGTGGATGAGATTGTTCTCAGATGAGATCTCAGATCTCAATGAGTTCTCAGAGCAACGCTGGGCATAGCTGCTATTGTAATACATCGTTAATCAATCATATGCCGAGGTTAACACTTGATGCTTGTATTCAATAGAAGTCACAAGATACGAGTGACTTGTGTGTACATCATTGATCTTACATTGAAGTTTCGTTCATCCCCTCGACCTGATTCTACCTCTTCCGGCTGTGTGTAGTCATATGTACTGTATCCTGCACCTTGACCTTATATCCGATCTAAGCGAGCCACATTCAATGTTGTGAGAAGGATCACGATCTCAAGCCCTGCGATTGTAACTTGCAAAGCTGAGTTCTAACACGGGCAGTGTACAGAAGACGATGATGGCTGTCCATTGATAAGTGCGCGTGAATAGTGGCTTGAAATATCATATGGAAATAACGTGAAAGCTTTCTTACAGTTGGAGCTTAAGTCGCTGATTAGCAAACATAATGATATGGTATTTGCGAAGCTAGCCTCCTGCATTAACATATAAGTCAGTCTTTTAGCCTTCACAAGTCTGGCTCACGAAAAGATTATTTTATGATCTACCAAGGAAAAACCTGATAAACCGCCTGCAAAATTCACTTCTAGATAAGCCGGGAAGTTAAGCCTAGTTTTTAATATAAACTTATTAGCATTCAAAGCAGTGTAACATTCATAGCCCAAGTCCCGTTATCGCTGGAGCGGCGGAGTGGAGGGTGACAGAGCTGGAGAGCCTATATATGAGCTAGGGCGACTATAACTGCATGGAGGGCCTAGGACCTAGGGTGACTAGGAGCTGTAGTGTCGTGGAGCTAGGATGTAC